GGGGGGGTGATTATTTTTGAAGCATGTCAGTCTCTGGATCTCGAGTTGCGCTCACTTACACCCAGAGAAATAAGCGTTCATTTATTACTCTTCAATTATATATGTTCCAGCAAATCCGAAGAGCCAATTGAAACAAGGAAAAATCGTAGCCGAATGGCTAATCACAAAATTTACGATTGAAAAAAAATTTGAGATTATGTACAACACGCCACACAAAGTCTAGCAAGAGTCAACTATAAACCGCTGCCAAATGATCCTCCCTTTGGTACGGGTAAGCTCGCTCTTGAGTAACTTTTCCTTTTATTTCCCCGTAGCAAGAAGCGGTAAGTCCTTCTGTATAGAAACTTGCAGTCAGGAAAACCAAACTCGAAAACGTTCTAAACAGCTTTCAGGCATCGGGAGAGAAGACATTCTGTCGTTACTACGCCTTCACTACTTTTGAGAAAGCGTTTTCGAGCAAATAGAAACCGCACACGATTCTCAAGACAGAATGATAACCAGAAGAATTTTCATGCTAAAAGTGTATCACATAAAATGTAATCTTGGGTAATGACTACTCGCCCTTTAATTCCATATCGCCTTCATCGTTCTCGAGTCCATCATCAACATCCTCGTCATTATCGTCGTCCTCTTCGTCATCTTCCTCCTTCTCTTCATCACTCTTTTCAATACGGTCTACATCAGGCTTCGACTGCACACCATCTTCGCTATCAGAAAACTCAATTGTACGCCGAAGCACTGCTGGTTCCGGTTCTTCTTTTTCCTCTTCTCCTATATTTGATGCCGACTTCGCTTCGTCCTTAAAAGTTTCCCGTGTGAAACTGTTTACATCCAAATAACAGCGGAGCGGAACGAAACGAACAAACCATTTTTTCGAACGACGCCTCTACTGGAATTCCCGAGTCGTCATCGTCATCATCGTCAGAATCTATCAGTACTCGTTTCTTTTTACGGATAGGCGCAACTCCGACTGGCTCTTCTTGTAATTCACTTAAAATAACCCAATCACACGCATACAAACAAAAGCAAGAACAGAAGCTCACCCAGCAGCATCATTCATAGGAAATTTTTCTGATGTAACCAGGTTTTGCGTCTCGAATCGACCAGAGCAAAGCATTAAAATGTCGTCCTCACTAGAATCCTTGAAGGGATCCAGGTCGCTGAACGTCCCAACGTTCACATATTCTGTAATCTTTTAAACGTTGACAAATTCCATAGTGAGGGTAACCATGGTAATGAAGGTGATACATTTGAGAGAACAAAGAGCGAGCGACTTGAAAAAACTGAAGGAAAAAAAATTCCAGCTCTCATTTTAGAGCCGAAAATGGCTAAGGCTAACTAAATGTGAGTATTTGCCATTAAACAACAAAGGCCTGCAAATTAACAATTAGGCTCATACCAAAGAAGCAGATAGCACCTCTCGCATGGATAGAACTTACTGGCCCTTGTCTCATCAGCAATAAACAAATGCAAACTAGAGAAGATTTTGATTAGACTGACCTGGGGCCTCTACGTTGGGCTGAGCCTCATCGGAACTTTCGCCTGTGGTCCTGAATGAAAACTGATACAATCAGCATCGAAACGAGAGCGAAAATCAACGAAAAACACACTTCTCGCCAAACCACTGAGAGAGAGAATTGGGAAACTGCGGTTGAGTCATCTCAGAAGTAGATTCAGTGCCTTCATCATCCTCCAATATTAAGTTGAGGCTCTTAAAGCAGTGCATCATAGTGGTAGGATGCCATGTTCAGCAACATAAGTGAGAAACAGGGAGATAATGAGAAAAAGCAGTAGTGAACACCTAACCAGGAAAGAAACCTGAACACTCATTTTGTTGGAAATAGAATACAGCCGATAATAAAATGATAGCCTTTTACGTCGAACAGCGCTGTTTCTAAACTGCTTTACCATTTGGACTGTATTGGACTTCCCTGGAAAACCCCTCCCCCTCCCCCCTGTACAGGTAAGAAGCCACACACACTCTCTCAATCAATTTTGTCAAGATGATTAACAGCCCTATAAATGTGAGGATTAACTTTTGCTTTGATGGGCGATTAATTCCACAAACCATCACCTACTTGTCACTAGGTGAATTGTTGAAAGGAATACGGAGCAGGTACCCATCGAAATTCCATAGCGCGGAATGTTGGTCGGGATTTGATATCCCCGTTTATAATAATTTCTAGCGTTGGAAAACCTTATTACGAGACCGGTTCTTCGCCAGAAATTCTCATTGGATACGGACAGTCTATACGCATCTTGTCTAAGCATGAATGACCAGGTTTTCCCAACGACGTCGAAAGATGCTTCAACTATTTCCATCAGCCCTTTCCACTTTGTGCAAATTGTTACAAGTCATTGTAACCATTTAATATTTGTCACTGAAGCAAAGCAGGAAAACTTAATATACAAATAAACAAATAATACAATATATTAAAACAACGAGATTTTGAGTATTTGTTTAACAGTTCAACAGTTCCTTGTAAATTACGATTTTCAAATCATAACCTACTCGAAACTGTCATTTTCGCTATTTCTGCGCACGAACAAAAAGAGATGACACATTATTCGACTCAAGCGATTTGAGAAAATATTTCATAATGTAGTACCGGCGACAGCGTAAGGGCATACTGAAACCAACAGTTGATAACTAATGGTCTTCAGTAGCGGTTGTCCCCATGAGGTTTGAAGTTAAAGTGGGTGTCAATGGAGACAAAGGCTGAATCTAGCGTATAGGATGCCTGCGACCAGAAATGTAGAACTCCCAGACACAATTCCTATGCGCTAGCTGCCCGAATTTTTTACGCGCTCTTGCAGCATGACGGACCGTTGCTATTCTCTCATTTTTTTGTAGCTAGGGAGACTGGATTTAGCCTTGCTTTCGATGAAAAGGGAAACAAAAAATGTCAAATGTGTCAAAAGAAACTTACATCAACTGGATGTAGTGGCTCCCCTGATCGACACTGAAAACGATGTATGTAAACATGTATGTATGGGACCTTGTTGGCAAAACGCACCTCAGGACATTGTGCAACAGCTTTATCAGCATCAACGCTCGAACGATGATGGCAGGAAGTTAGGTCTTCCTATATAGAGAAGTTTATGTTAATAACTCTGAACCAAGGTCAAAATTGCATACATCGTGAAGCCTCTGACTATCCTTAACAGATGCACCATCGAATAAGTCAACTGATTCAGGCAAGTCGTCGACTGCTTCACATTTCTGGAATGAGGGGAAATTTGAAAGGAACCTGTACGACAGTATAACAAGCCGTTTTTCACCTTTTGATCATCATCATCAAGAGAATCACTATTTTGGGAACTCTCCGCATCACTTCCTTGTTCCTCTTCCTCGTCGTCAGCGCTGTAGTCATCATCGCTTTCTTCAGATTCCTTCGCTTCTCTATAGGGAAAGTTGAAAAAAGTGATAAAAAATGAAACAAAAAACATGAACATGAAAACTCGCAATTCAGAACTATGGAAAGCAAAAGAAGTGTAAGTTAGAGATAAGAGAAGAGCTCACTTTTTCACCTTCGATGAATTCCCGTGGCCATTGTCACTTCCTTCGCCATCATCATCATCATCATCTTCTTCTTCTTCGTCATCCTCATTTTCCACGATGCCTTCGTTATCTTCCAGGTACAATTCCTTGCGTTTTGCCAGCCCAGCCCTTCTCCTCTCTGCTAACTTCTTTTCGAGGGCCTTTTTAAGACACCTTTGCTTAGCTACTGAAAAATTTCCGATTTCTATGGAACTGAATGTTTCTAGGTACAAGGGTGGTGAACTTACTACTTGGAGGAGCGTTAGCTGGCAGATGCATTAATCTGAAACATGTACAGTAGTCACACAGACACTCTCAATACGCTTTTACGCATAACTGAACCCCACGTGTCTTCAGCCTTCTGCGTCTCCGTTTTGATGAACGGAAGCTTCTTCTTCAACCACGATATGTCACCCAACTTGTCCTAAAAGAGCCTGATTTCGTTAATATGGTAAGCAGGGAACAACAATTCACCTCCTCCGTTCGAAGATCGATCACACTATGTTGCATGGCTGTTAGTTTGGGGAGCTGCAGATTCGCAAGTGCCAGACGTCGATTGAGTCTCCTGATTTTCCCTTCACTTCTCACACTTTCAGCACATGGGTTAGCCACTAGATTTGTACCATTTTCTTGTAAGTCATCAACAGAATATTGTATTGTCATGGAAGAAGCCGAGTTGTTCGATTCTTGGGAAGCGGAATCATCCAAAGTTGAGTCAACTTCCATCTAAAGAACATTGTTAATCTAGAATCGTTGTTGTAATTCAAAGGGACCGGCCCCTGGATGCAAAATCAACGAGCTAACGAGGAATCATCGACAACAGGATTCAAAACTAAGTTAGTTCTGGCTGATAAGAGTTCTTGTATGACTAAGCGATGAAGAATTCTCAGAAAAAAGCTCTCCAAAGCTTCAATAAGAACAATCTCTTTGAAGAAAGCAAGCTATGCTCTGAGCTCTGCACTCACCCTTAAGTTTCCAGTTATCTTGATACTTTCACTCTGAGAGAAGGGAGCCTGTAATGTACGGAAGTACACTAAAGCTTTTATAAGTTGATAAATGCTACAGATACATAGGCGGGAGACATTTTCTTGACGGTGCACTTTCTATCAGCGCATAAATTACTGGCGCCGCTGTTCCTATACTAACGCTGATATTCTTCATGATATCTCACCCGTTTGAATGAGTGAGTGGCTTGTATTTGCGTTCCACCTACTATAAGCCGCCCATCAAAACACAACCGCAGCATAAGCACCAAAGAAAGAATTAAGTCAATCACCCCGCAAGATGTGTACCTTGTTAGGAGAGGAAATGTACTGGGCCTATATTGAGCGATAATAAGCGGAATTTCCAAATATCAGTCAAGCGCCACTCAATCCGCCTACTCTCACTTTTAATTTAGTTCCTGAAAAATCTCAAATAGCCTGAAACAACCTGATGGATAATCCCAGGAATTGATTCTCTACAGTAAATGATCAGGATAAAGCTTTTCTGATGTGCCGCCGTAGACGCATTTGCCTTCCATTCTGAATCGTAGCAATGAAGTCTAATTTGACCTTTCCAATGGATTGCCGTGCTAGCCGATGTCCAAGTCAGTGCTGTTATAATCCCAGATCATTCTAGCTCATTAGCGGACCCTGGAAGGATGGAAGGTTTGGTCAGCTCGGACGGACAACGATCCGGCTTTTGATCACTGGAACGCGTTTGTGATGTGCGCCACTAACCACATCACCACCTCTGCCTTGATTTCCTGTATCTCTGTTAATCGACGAAGTAAATATTGTCTCCAAACAGTCTGAAAGTTATACTTGACCGAGGCTGATTCGATTGCTAACATACAAGATGGGTGTCTCATGTGGCACTTCCCCATCAATTCTTCTATACTAGTCACTGTGATACAGAAGATAAGCGCACTAAGAACGTTCAAAAGTGGTGGTGGTCAGGTCTTCATCAAACAAAGAGAGTACTAAATTTAGAATTGTACAGAACTGATGACAGGGAATTGAACGAACAACAAAATTAAGCAGCAAGAGCTTATCACTATAATAGAGTGGATTTTTCCCAAACGCATCAAACATAGAACCAGAGAGATCGGAAACACGACGATGTCCAAACGGTAGCTTCAGCTCAGGCAAAGAAAGAAG